ACAGCTATGCACTCTTAAGGTTTAGTTTGATGGGGTTTTCACAGGATGTGAGCTTGGCATTTGAAGACACTCCTCTCACAAATGAACACTTAACAAACTTTTGTTAATTCAATTGCTTTTCAAAATCAGGAAGCTTTTCCTCTCTAAATTTGAGTTCTTCAGGACTCTGAGAAGGAAATGAAAGTTTTCTGAAGAAACAAAGTTTAGCACAGGAACATTGCAGCTGTGTGCATGTATCTCTGTTCCCTTGTGAGTGGGATAAATTAATAACTTGAAAGTGTGGTTGGACAGGCAGACTGTCCTAATTATCAAAATCTCTGCTAGTGAAAGTTGCCTGAAATGTAGTCTACTAATAAAGATAACGAATGTGTGTAATTCACATTCATTTCCTATAGTATTACTTAAAAGAACCTTAAGACTCAGGTTCTATAAACGTGTACTTACATGTTTAGCCTTGAAGAATGTTACTCATAGTAATGGCTAATTTAGAAAGATATGGCAGGTACTAGTTTTAAGAGTTGCCTGAAGTAATTGTTGACATGGAAGCCTTGTCTTGTACGTAGGAACTCTCTGCATGCTCAGAGGCTCTATTCTCTCCACCTAGTTTGCCAGTGCCCAAAAATGTTTTTCCTCTATGTAAAATATAATGTATAAGAATATATATTATAAAACTGGCTTCCAGAATTAAACTCTGTCTTAATATGTGCAAGGAAAAAGAGAGGGTATGTGAATTGATGAAATTTAATATATATGTGTACTTCTGTATGTGCTTTCCTCTTAGCCTGCTTTAAAAAAGCTAAGAATGATGTGAACTAATAAAGGATCTAGTGGTTAATGAGTGGAAAACAGTTCTAATTGTTTCTAATTTGACCCTTGGGCATTCAGCTTCCTCCTCCTTCTCCTCCTTCCTTGGGGTGTGTGTGTAGATTTTTTATTTTTGAGTAGGGAACATCTTAAACATGGGCAAGCTGTAACAGTTTTCACACTTGCGACTTCAAGTCTTGGTTGCCATATGCTTCTGGAGAAGTGGCTTGTTTGCTTACATTTTTGCTCTAGACCTCCACTTGTTGCTATGGTGGACTGTCTGTTTCTGTCAATAATTTGGCCTGGCACAGCTTGCATGCACTGACTTAAATTTTATTGAACAATTCAACTGAAACAGAACAAGAGTAGACAGCTTTCACCTTTTGGCTTACTGAAGTGGTTTTACTGTGGGTATAAGAGCTGGTGGAATTCTTGCACAAAAACATTTTTTCCTTTCAGTATATAGAGACTGTGATTTCAGACCACTTGGCTATTTGTATTCTGAAGTGTGTGTAGTGTCATGTTTTTCATCTGCCCTCTTTGAGAAGGAACTGTGCAGTGAAGTAAACTCTTTGCAAATGGTTTGTTCGTTGGAATTCCTCATTGATACAAAAATGCCAAAATATACAAAAGGAGGGGAGGGGAAGAGAAAGGATTTTGCTCTCAACTGTCAGTTCTTCACCAGTAAGTGGTGTTACGTTCATGAAATAAACTTATGTTAATAGCAGAGGCCCCTTCCTGCCTTTCTGTTTCATCCATATCTTCAAAAACAAAATCTGCCTTACTTTTCGTTCTAATGTTGTAGTTTTCAAGACTCACACAGAGGGCTCATCTTTAAAAATAGAAATCTGCCAGTTGAACATTATGTATGTTTTGTGAGACAGAGCAAAAAACGGTGAACCCGGTCAGACACTTGTTGCTGTCATGCATTTTGTGGTAGTGAGTGTATCTGATGTAGCTGTAAACTTTCAAAGCATTCTTGAACAAATTATTTGGAAAAATAGGTCCACTGCAGGGGTTTACTGCAGGAGTTAGTGTAAAGGGGTTACAGCCTTGTAGACTGAATGGAATCAGTGTCAAATTATGACTTGTCAAGTTACATTATTAAACAAATAACTTTGGAGTTAATCATATCTAGCATCTTCAAAACCTCATCCTTTCTAACACTTATACTGTAGATTAAACACACTGACTGTTGCTCTTAATACAGTATTCCAGTCTAAGATAGATTTATTGAAGTATCCAGAAGTATACAAAAGATAACAAGCAAGTATGGCATGCTATCAGTAAAAGTTTATGGACTACAAAAGAACATAATTAAAAGGTTCTAAATTGGAAGAAAGCATAAATTAGTGTCAACTGATTTGTTTTTGGTGTAAAGAGTTTTAGATATTTTCTAAATTTGCTCCACTCACAGCAGTGATATAATTGTAATATATTAGAATATGTTACTTGATGGTACATAACACACACACACACACACACACACACACACACACACAGAGAGAGAGAGAGAGAGAGAGAGAGAGAGAGAGAGAGAATGTTAAGTCAAGACGATGTAACCATCTTTGTATGAAAGAAAAGAAGTACAAATCTATGAATTCAGGGAACTACTTGAGAGGAAAATTATTGTACTTTGTAATGCCTTTTCAGTCTTCAAAACTAATTGAATTAAGAAGCTTGAATTTATGTTTCCATACAACTGAGGCTGCAGACATTTGAAGATATATTGCAGTAATATATCCTGATTCACATGTGTTGGTGAAACTTGTGACATATCAGATTTTTGGACTACAGCTACCATAGTATCATTGGCAATATAAGCTGTGGATTCTGGGAGCTGTCATCCAAAACATCTGGCATGCCAAAGGTTCAGCATCCTTGCCCTGAGTCCTCTTTGTTGGCCCTGTTACTCAAGCATGAGCAAATTTAAAGTCATTGTAATGGCTTTATATCATAACTTTTAATGACAAGCAAAACGAAGTCCATAAAAAAAACCTCCTGATTTTACGACAGAAACAACTGCTACTACTAGATAGCACATATGAAAGATTACTTTAGAACTGAATTTTTGAGTGGTTTTTCTTTTACAGAATTATGAGTTTGTTATAAAAATGCACAGATAGTTAAAAGTCCTTCCCAACAATCAAGAGTTTTAAAGGAGATAAAAGTTACATTTTTTCTGCTCAACATTTGATCTATAGATACTTTGAATCTTTTAATTTTGTTTAATCAAAACTCCCAAAACATTATGGTTGATAATTTGTACTCTGTAATCTTTGTTGCATTCACTTTATTTGTTGTTGTTAGTCTGTGTTCTGTAATCTTTACTGTTTTGGTGCATAGTTATAAAACTTCTTAAGTGCATTTACAAAAACTGTAATTTAAAAATGAATCATGGGATTGAAGACAAAAGTCTCTGGATAAAATCAACAAGAGAGTTTAAAATACACTTTTTGCAGCAGATATTTTCATAGGTCAGGGAAATATACAGTATTAGAGAAGTATTGGAATGATGGCCAACTCCCAGGTGTATATTCAGAGGAAAAGAAGCTGAACTCCATTGCAATTCAACTAAGAGTCAGCATGCTGGTTATGTCTAGGAAATAATGCTTTTTTTCACAAGCTTCTCTTGTTATATATTTGCATGCCTCTGGTATCCCACTCCCTAATTGGGCTTCAGCTGAGAGGCCTCACCAGCCCTACATAGCCATTTTTCCGGTGGCAAGGCTGATGACATCTTTAGGAGATTGGAGCTGTTAAATTTCCTGATTTCTGCCTGAAGAACATAATCTTTATATCTAGAAAGTCTGGCTCCCTATGGAAAGTTTCACAGTAAGCTTTAGGTATAAGCTAGTTGAGAAACGATTGTATTGAATTGCAATTGACTTGTTCGAAAAAGATATAGGAGAAAGCCCAGCTACGTCAGCTGATCCTTTAGATATATGATTATGATACCATTAGTGCACCCCAGAAAAAAACTTTCAAAACTTTGTGTTCGTATGCAAATTAGCAGAAAAATTGCCTCCCTTAAGTTTAATATTTTTTGTAACTCTGTAAGTGTTGTAGCATGAATTTCCTTGGATGAGTGAAAAATGTACAATAACTTTGTTACTTTTTCTAAATTAGAAAACAAGTGTGAGGAATGACATGTATTTTTTAAAAAGAGAAATAAGGTCAACATACAGTTCTGACAGAAATACAGATTTAATACACAACCACGTAAAACATTATGCTAGTATTTTGTACATGTGTGTGCAAAGTTCCTAATTTATTTATACTCTTGATACTTGCCTTTATGTAGTTCCAGTGAAATGTATACATCTTCCAAATTTGGACAGTCCTTCCAGAGCTATTTTTCTCTCTGTTGCCTCCCTAGCACCAAATAGAGGAGACTTCATTTGAATGTGTAAAAATTCAGTGAGCAGTGGTAGAGATTTAGAATGCGAAGTAAGTCTGTGTACATGTTGGTTTAGAGGAACCTTTTCTTTCTGCTTTGTGTATGTGTGCCTGCTGATAGAGTGCAGAACATTTTGAAATGTTGACTCAGGCTATTTAACTTCTCTGCCTACAACACAGTATAGCAGGTGGCTTTGCATATGCTTGGTGTAACAACAACAGGCTTCAAGTTCCTTGGTAACCTTCATTCTTTCCTTTTAATAATCAGCATCTTCTTCTAACGGCAAGGACCTTTTCAGTTTTCATCAGTGCATCTGTGGAGGCATAAAGGAGTATACTGGCCAATAGAAAGGTCCAGTGGGTGGCTAGGAATGATTTAGTTTCTGCCACCAGGGCTCATCTTATACGATTTGTGACAAATTGTTTCTTTCCTTTGGTCAAGCAGCCAAAACATCTAAGCCTTCTCATCCCAGAGGAAAGAAAATAGCAAGCCGGTGTTCACTCCTGTACGATTAATGGCCTCTCTGGTAAATGCATCAGTGAAAGGGATGATGATGATCTATTGCAGAACTGCCAGTCCCACTAAATGGCTGAGATGCCCCCTCCTCTCTACTCTGACTTATTTGTAGGAACATCTTTCATAGCCACACCTGTACCTACCCCTTTAAACTTCTATATTGGAGAGCTAAGAAAACTTTGAAGAAAACTTTGATTATTTGATATAGCTGGCTTAAATTTTTCTTCTCCTCTTCCCCCCTCCCAAATCTCTCTCTTTCTCCTCTCTTTTTCCCCCCTAGAGGATGAAAGTCCTGGACAGACCTATCACAGGGAGAGAAGAAACGCAATCACAATGCAGCCACAGGGCGGGCAAGGGCTCAGTAAAATCAGTGAAGAGCCTTCGACATCTAGTGAAGAAAGGGCCTCATTAATCAAGAAGGAGATCCATGGATCTATATCGCACCTTCCTGAGTCTTCAGTACCTTACCGTGGGACTGTCTTTGCCATGGATCCCAGGAATGGGTATATAGATCCTCCTTATCGTAAGTATTTAATGCAAGTTCATTGTTGATGGTTAAATTACAGTGATGTGACAGCTGCCATTTTCCATTGCATTTTACTTTGACATTTATCATTGATTCTAGAAGTAGCATGTGTATAACAAAGTTTTAAAACATTCTTTTTATTGAGAAGTTATGTGGTGAGGTATAGAGAGAACCAGCAAAGATCCATTGGAATTAATGGAGTTTTAACACATTGTGCTTCTGTTCAATTGCTGCCTATTCCTGCAGGTTCTCACACCCCAGAAATTCTATGGATTTTCACCCATGAAACATATGCTGGTCCTTGTTCATTTGTTGTTTAGTAGCATGGTAGCAGTAGGCATTGGTTGGTTTGGAAGTTGTCATCTGAGCATCAGCAGGCCAATGAGTTCTCTTACAAAATTAAGAAAGTACCATTTGTATATATCATTGTTTTTAATAACAATGTCACACAAAAAACCCCAAAATCTAAGCACGCAGGCACAGTCATTAGCCTTTCCTCTAGACACAGTGTGTAGGAAGATTGGGAGGAAGTGAATGGGTTTCAACTTTGGAATTACTGATGAGATGTTAATAAAAAGTGAAAAATTAAGGTATGCTTATCTATGGAAAAATGTGTGAGTTTAATGTAATTGTTTTATTCTGGTTCTGTTTTAAAAGGGTACAATCACTTGGGTTTGTAGTAACGAAGAACATTTTGAGGTATCAGTCAGGGTCTTTTGATTATAGATTTATCATCCAGTCAGGACTTGTGTTTGCCATTTAACCTTTCAGTCTCCCATCCTGGATGATAGACTGAGATGAAGGATCAGTCTGGGTCTCGTGATTCATTCCCCCCCCCCCATGTTCACTGTCCCCCTTCTGAAGTCATTCAAAAATATTTGTATTTGGAGGCAAAAGGGCATTAGCCAGATGACTGATTAGTGAAGACAGCTGATTAGTGTGTGGTTTTTTATTTTTTTTTTTAATTTTTCTTCTTGGTAAGAGAGTGCTGGGGATAAAAGCGAATTCTCTCCCTTCATTAGTTGGGTTAGCAGCAAAAGAGAATGTTCACTCATCAGGGTGCAGATCAAAGTGTGTCTTACACACAAATGATAGGTTTCACCCAAACAGCATCTCTTTAAAATGTAGTCTGATAATAAAAGATGGTGGCTGATAATAGAAAATGGACGTTTGGGTAATTGGGTTATATTGGTGTTCAGAGGGAAATTCTTGGTGCCCCAGAAGTTGACACATTATTTACTCTCCCTGTGTTCTGAATGTACGCTAGATTTCTGAACATATAATTTTCTGTTGGCTTTTACACTAAAGTTCCTCAAATCCTTCAAAAACACAACACCCTACTTTAAAAAGAGTGCTGAGGGGCCCACCATGTGGAAGTGGTGAAGGATAAAAGCCAAGAAAACTATATGCTATGATCTACATAACAGTCCATAACTTTACTAGATCATAGCTGTATTCTGGACTCCTGAGCCTAGTTAAACAAACATAGCATTATATTTCAGTAGGACTCCCATGTGTATAGATGAGTATGAGGAAAGCTGGAGAACTTTGCTGCCTACATCCAACTTTATTCCCATGGCTGAAAAATCTTCACTTGGAAATGAATGCCGTTAAACTACCCCAAGGTGGGTTCCAAAAATAATAGAGATGATGGACTGCCATTCAGAAAGAGTGAGTGAATTAAGCAAGTGAATTTTACACAGTGCATATGTAGAATTTCTGTGCAGTATCTCTTGCTTTGTAGATTTTAAATTACTGGTCTAAAATTACTTATTCTGGGATTGTTTTTGTGAGACAGTTGTAGATGATTTGATTCAAAATGATTGTATCCAATATTATGAATGCCAATGTGTGACTATAAAATCTTTCAGTAATTCTTCAGTAATTATGCAGTTATTATATATAGAAGGAAATAAACCATAAATATGATTTAAAGCTTATTGTAGGCATACTAAAACCCACTTTTGAACTTTGAATTGTTGCTGGATCTTCTCCTACGTGTGCTACCCCTGTTATAGACACCAGTATGTACATAAAGGATGATTCTTGGCAAGGTCACATACTGAAGCCAAGGGCCAATTTATACAACATTTTTGCTACACTTAATCCAAATCCATGTAGAACTTCATGTGGTTTGGCATTTAATTTAATGGTTTTGACATGATGCATCATCATCTTATGTGCCAACATGCCAAAGTAGCTCCCTTCTGGGCAGGGTATAGCTATCAGGTAAATGGTGCTGGAGGCTGGCCACCATATTGGGAGCCACCTTCTTAGGTGCTCTTATTCTTGGGGAAAGTGCCAAGAAGTGTTCTGCTGGCTGCCAGTCAGGATCGGGCAGCAGCATTAGACAGGAGGAGCTCCTGACCTGGCAGACCTGATTGTTTTCAATCTGGTTCATCATGAAGGAATGTAAAGAGAGCTCTGAGCTCCACAGCATTGACTTCACCCTCCCTCTTTTCCTCTACTTAGGTATTGTTTATGTAATTTTTGGAGGAGATGGTGGAAGCTATAGGAATTGTTACATGAACAGTTGGCTACCTTCATCACTGCTGTTTTGGTTGCGAGCAGAGAGATTGTGCATAGGAGCAGATCTTCAGTGAAGGAGATGGGCATTTGAACCCATCCCAGGGAAGGGATCCCTTCCATGTGGGGATCAAGGAGCGTGGAACTGACAGGGGCGTGCCTAGCTTGGGAGGACCACCACAGTAGGCACCAGTGGGGCTACCCTCCCCACTGATCTCATGCTTAAGGGAGGGAGTACATACACACCTAAGATGGCAGATGGGTCATCCGATACAAGGATCTGTTCCTTAATCTGTGCCAATACTTTCCTGCTGCACCTAGTCTGAGGGATTGCCGTTTTATATCCATTAACAATTTATTATTTCAATAAACCTGGAATAACAAATGTTTTACTGCTGCGTAGGGAGGCATTCTGGGTTATCTTGCCTGGGTCCTCAAATTAATCCCCCAATAGTCAAGTGAATTTTAGTGTTTACTTTTCCATGATATGCATAACTCTGATATCTGCTGCAGGGCAGGGTCTCAAAATGCTTAAACTAGACAATAGTATGACCATTGCTGGAAAAAACCCCACCTCTCCTTGAATCTCATGGTATTGGATAATTATCAACCAATCTCTAGTGTTCCATTCCTGGGCAAGGCATTGGAGTGGGTCATGGCATCTCACCTCCAAGAGTTCCTGGATGAGATGAATTGTCTAGATCCGATTCCAGTCTGGTTTCAGACTTTGTTACAGGATGGAGACTGCTTTGATTATCTTGGTAGATGACCTCTGCTGGGAACTGGACAGGGGAAGTATGTCACTCAGGGTACAGTTTTGTCCCCTGTGCTATAGAACATATACATGAAACTGGTGAGAAAAATTTTCCAGAGTTATGGGATTCAATGTCAACCATATATGGATTATCCCTGATTCTCTTTCCTGTCTATGTCGTTCCAAGGAAGCTGTTTTGGTTTTAAATTGATGCCTAGTGTAAGTGAAATATTGAATGAGTGTGAATAAACGGAGGAGTTCCTGGTTAGTCCAGGGGCGGCTCAAGAAATGTCAGTCTGTCCTGGATGGTGCTACACTCCCCCCCCCCAAAAAACCCCCCCACAAACCATCACCCGTTCACAGAAAATGCAGTTTCACAACTTCATTTGCTTCTGGATTCATTCCTGACCATGAATGCCCGGGTCTCAGCAGTGGCGAATAGTGCATTTGTGCAATTAAAACAAGTGTCCCAGTGACACTCTTCTTGGACTTGTCTATTCTGACTTAATTATATCCTGTTGGGATTACTTTAACACACTCTTATGTGTTGTGGCCTTTGAAAAGTGCTTGGAAACTTCAGCGGGTCTAAAGTGCTGTAGCCAGATCATTAACTGGAGCTGGTTATAGGGATCACATAACTCTCTTGCTACTGCAGCTCCATTGACTGCAGGTCCATTTTTGAGTGAAATTCAAAGTGTAATATGTAAAACCCTAAATGACGTGGATCCAAGTTATCTGAAAGTCTGCATCTCCCTTTATGAGCCTGTCCAGGTTTTTAAATAATCAGGAGAGAGCTGTCTCTCTATCCTGCCACCTTCACAGTTGCATTTGGAGGGAACATGAGAGGGGGTTCTCTTTGTTATTGCTTCAGAGCTGTGAAGCTCTGTCCCATTGGAGGACAGGCTGGCCCACAAGAGCAGCAAAGACCTTTCTCTTCAGGCAGGCTTTTTCTCAGTAACTGCTGCCTTAGAGAGGGTTCTTAATCATGAGGCTGTTTTATGTTTCTTAAAAATGCTTTTAAAAGATTTAAAACATTTCAACCTAACAAGAAAAAACAGAGAACCTGAACTTTCCCAAACCAACAAAATTTTTGAGCAACTTCCGAACTTCTTGGTTTGTTGCCCCCCACAGCCTACCCATAGCCCCCTTCCCACTGCCTCCGCCCAGCCCCCTTTTCCACTGCCCCTGTTGCCTCCCTACCTCGTTCTATACATTAGATAGCCCCGTGGCTCCTTAAAAAAGTCTGGCTGGATGAGAGGCCTGCTCTTTTTTATTTTTAATTTTTTAAAGACTGTCTCAGGGTAAAACACAACCCAGCTGCTTCAGGCTCCTCCTCCTCCTCCTTTATAAAATATATAAAATGTGTGTGCGTGGGTGGGTGGGTGGGTGGGATGATGGGGACAATGGGAAGGGTGTGGGGGCAGGCTGTGAGAGAAGGGGGGTCGGCAGAGGCAGATGGGCTGTTTTGTTTTGGACAGCCACTGTTGACAAACTGACAAACTTATTCAGACTGACAAACTGATCTGTCTCAGTGCAAATAACTGAGGGGCAGCACAGGATTGAGTTTTGAGGGGATATCATCCTCTTCTCTGGGCCATTGTGGCCTTCTCTAGTTTTAGGAGGCTAGCTCACTTGGAAGCGGCAAACTTGTACAGAAGATGTAGATTGCTTCAGAATGCGCAGGGAGAGGTTTCCCACCACTGAGTGCTTGTCCAAA